TTATTTTACTATTTTTGTTTACAAAAAGTTAAAAAGGTCCAATAAAGTAAGAAACTGAAGAACATTGTGATATCAAAATTCTAAAGGTTTTTGCCAAGTTCATCTAAGGTTATCCATTCCTGGGGTGGAACAATTCTTAGTATTTCGAAAAAGTTTTGTAAACAGTGAATTTATAACTATCACCATATCAGTGGTAATCCTGTCAACACAGAGGTGCTGACTACTGGGTTGATGATACCATCCAGTATCAAAGCCATCGACCCAGTGGTTGAAAATAAGCTTATCATATATATCAGGATTAAATTGTGTACGCCAGTCCCGCGTTTCTGCTAAAAAAACAACTCATCAATGACGCTCGAATCCAAAAAGTTAAAAAGGGCAAATGAAGTACGAAGTTGAAGAGCACTGAGGACCAAAACTTACTAAATTTTTTCATTTGTACGGGGGAGTTGAAGCGTCACTTTGCTATAAAAAAATCAACGAAAATTAACGGAAAAGGGCCGGCTGTGTTAGATAGACCTCCCTGATCTTTCAGTCGTCATGAAATGTAGCGCAGAGTAAGTCAATATGTAAACCTTCCTAGTCTTTCAATTTCTATAAAATTTTGGTAACAGTTTGGCTACGCATTGATATTAATACTATGAAAAGGATATTTCTGGAAATTTTCATTTTCGATTTGTACGGCGGTCTTCAAGTGTCACTATACCATCAAAAATAGGTCAAAGTCTCAAATAGGCGGACGGCAATATGTGTAATTTTCTTGTAAAGTTTTAGGTATCTGGGTTGAAAATTGAAGGAGAGTTGTCACTCCCTCTCATCTTTGATGAAAATGAATAAGTTTCCTAGTCTTGAAAATGAGACAAAAATCATCAAACAATTCCATAAGAGCAGTTGCGCAATTTCAACGTATGTGCAATCCTCCTGCAAAGTTTCAGGGATATAGTTTGTGGGAGAAGTCGATTGCACGAAACTCCTTCTCCCTTTTATAAAATTTGCTGGAAAAATAAGAAAAAATCCTAAAAATAAGTTCATTATAAGAGGTGCACAACTTCAACATATATGTTATTATCTTATGAAGTATCAAGGGTCTGGGTTGAAACTGTAGGAGAAGTTGATTACACAAAACGTGCCTCTTTCATAAATTTAACTGAAAAACGACTACGTTTCCAAGTCTTGAGATATGAGAAAACGTTCTCAAACACTAAGTTCCCCAGGCTGGAAAAATTAGAAAAAAATCCTCAGACATTTCCATAATAGCAGGTAAATAGATATTTGCAATTGTCATGTGTAGTTTCACGAATCTTGGCAGAAAACTTGGTAGGAAAACTTGAATCACACATTATGGATCACCATACTAAAGACTGGTTTTGGACATCGTCCAACCCTGCCAAAAATCAACGATAATAAAAATGATTTCCCTAATATTTGATCATCATAAACGTCTCTTGATGTCCTTAATATCTGAATATGTTAGATAACTGTACACATGTATGTATAATTTTATGTAGATGGAATGATCTTGAGGGATTATGCAATGACCTGAGCCCTTTACCTGAATTTTCCACGATTTTTAATTGCAAATAAAACACTTTAATCTTATCTTTAATATCAAAGTTGAAATGATTCGTGGAAATCTCTTTGGTTATATCTGTAACTATACTTAGTCTAATTGCTAGCAAAATTGATATGAAAAGACCAGGCGGGTCCTGTTTTGGGATAAGAAGGGACTATCGTAGTACCGCGAGAATTATACATGTACTTATTGGTAAGAAAAATAGGAATGTAAATTACTTAAATAAATCAATAAATATTCCCAAGGTAAACTTTGTATTTATTGCAATGATCAACATTTCCCTATAGAATGTAAAAAGTTCACAGATAGCAAATCAAGAATGGAGATTGTAAAGGAGAGAAATATATATTTCAATTGTTTATAAAATATCAGAGTGTAGGTCGACAAACATATGTCTAAAATGTAAACGTAAGCACCACACACGTTTGTGCAATGAATCATCGAATCAACAATCACAGTCAGCATATTACTAGTAGTAGTGCAGAAAATGGCCCGCCGATCATGCATACATCTGCTAAACTGGAAAATTCGACCGCCTTCTTGAAAACCGCAATAGCTCCCCTATGGTCACAGAATCAGTGCGCCGACGCTAACATCCTTTTCGACGAAGGAGCGCAACAATCATTTATGACGCAGGAAATAGCAGACAAGTTGAACGTCAAGCCAGACGGAAAGGAAACCCTCAACATGTCCGCCTTTGGAGATTCAGACAAGAATGTTCGCCACATAAGTAAGTGTACTTGAAAGCAAACTCATGTGAGACACCTGATTGTACCTACTATAGCAGCACCGATCCAGTATAATCGCAGGTACATTTAAAAAAACTACAGTATTTGTAGCCCACCTAAATACCTTTGACATTTCATTCCTCATTGGAGCAGACCACTTATGGAATGTAATTAAGGACGACATAGTTCGAGGCGACGGACCGACAACAATGAGCTCAAAAATATGATATTTGTTAACTTCATGTGGTGCAATACGACAACGCAATTTACACATGATGCTTGAATTAACAAGTCATGACGGAGAGGATATTGACAGGTTTTGGAAGAAGGAGCACAATTTCAAAAGCAACTTGATTCAGTGATAATTTTATAAGTAATTCATGGACTGTAAAGTTTCAGTATTTTTATTTCATTTCATTTCACAGACAATTTTCTTAATTTCGATACATTGTTCATTGAGACTTTAATTGCACAAACTAGCGGCCCCGAGTATGTTGAGGGTAAGTAGAGATTACCATAGTACTTCCGGAATTATACATGTACTTATACGCATTAGCGCTGTCTATGTAACGTCATGGTATCTATGTGTAAACGCTATTGTATTTTCATAATTAAATCGTTCTTTTGTAAAGACGTTTTTATTTCACTTTAAACACACAACGCATTCATCAATATACGATCACGAGAGGTCCCATTGTTATTTAAGCGTTCTCCTGTAGATATTTGCAATATATTTTGGATATACAACTCGCTCTTTGCGTCCTACGTACATATCGAAGAAATACAGTTTCGAAAATGTCCTTTTAAGGGTTTTCCAAAGTTAATGTCTATTAACATTTTAACATGTTACAAGACCGTCCATTCGTTTTTGTATATTGGAAATATCATTATGTAAACGCATCTACTATAGCATTTGATCGATAAAAACATGGAGATGATAAACAGAAAATTGTGATTTACCTTATGGTATAAATTCAAGGAGAAATATAATTGACGATAACATGTAATGGTCACAAAACGATTTCCTACATCTCTTTTTACTCCTTTAAACTATAACTATCATTTTTAGGGTATCGAATATTCAATTTCTTATTACTTTTTAACTAAAATAAGTTGAATATCTAACGAACTGCTAGCAGCCAATTTGTTATTGAATATGGAATAACGAATAACGAACCGGCTGATAACTTCACGTACATAAAGAATAGATGGATTGGACTTTTTTTTTGAGTTGATAAAAATGGAAATAATATTTCATCAAATTAATTTAGTCCTTTAGCGTTTGTTTTCTTGACTGTTTTTTTAAATTCAAAAAAGTGCAGCTTAAACGGAAAAGGTAGTTTGTCTAATGTTGTGCTGTATATATTATAATATATGATATATTTGCTTAATACATAAAATCATATGAGAAATAAGAAGGTGTTCAGACAGTACCATACATGTTTTTTTTTTGTACGTATATATAGGTTTGAACGTTGTTTTCAATTTAGACTTGTTTATATTTTTTCGTTTGGGCTTGTATTATATTTGCATTCGGGTTAATATGATCCGTTCATCCTATTTTGACTCTTTCAAAATTCAAGAGTCTATCCTAAATTGAGGTAAATTATATGGCCTTCCAAATACCGTTTCGATTCCTAACATCACTGAAGATACATTAATTGTCGAAATCCGGATATGGTGTACAAATTTTTGCACCTCATGTTTGCGGTAAACCATCTTTTCCGCAAGTTTATTGTTTTCAGTTTGGTAATAATTTAATAATAAGATCTGTTTTGTTACATCTTGTGATCCGTTTATTTGGCTAACGTCAATGGCAGTCAGCAGGTTTTAAGAACATCAGTTGTTCGACCTGCTAGTCAAATGCGTTTTGTTAAAATATAACCTTTTCACTCATTTGGTCTTTTGGAAAATGTTGTTTGTGCTGTATTTAGACCCCTCTTCCAAGAAATTTGTTTTGCATGCACACGAATAAAAGTTGCGGTTTTTATCCAACGCAATCATAGGTTTGAACGTTGTTTTCAATTTAGACTTGTTTATATATATATATGTATTCACAATTTACAATTTACAATCGAACAATGTGAACGATTTTTAATACAATGATTATATGCATTTTCTTCTTTTTTATTTTCTTGTTTATTTGTACTTGCACGGTTTTTATTGAAATTATTACCGTATATGTATTCATATATATACTATACCGTATCAATGAACAAGTGAGGAAGTAAAACTAAATCGGTTCTTTCAATTACCAGTTAAACAACAGAGCTCAGAAGAGAACACGCCATTTATATTTCATAATAAGCTAAAAGCATTTTCGCCTTTTTCGCTTTGCTGTTTTACCTATTTTTGTTTATATCGTAGTTTTGGTTTGTAATAAATCGTATTGTTGTATATGATAATAAAATAATTGAAATAGTTTGATTTACAATATATATTCTTACGGTATGTACTTTAAAAATACAAATATTGCAAAATCAGTTCGATGCAACGACAGAGACGAACCAAAATCCCAAAGATTTAAGATACCTCATATTTTGCCTAAATATAGATAGACGAACAAAGATGAAGCAAATACCACAAACGCAATGAAAAGTCACAGTGTTGTAATGAAATCCTTAAGAAAGCAAAATGCAAAAAAAAAAACATTGGTGGATAGTTGTCTTTTTATCCTCCTTCTCTCGAATCTCCTTTTTTTAGTCAAACATAAATCTCCCATTATTTTCTTCCAACTGTTGTTCGGTTTTTATTAGTTCCTCTACACCATTGTACATTTCACAAACAGCTTGATATTCAGATAGCCCAAGGCGTCGTTTATTTGATACATCGTAAACAGCTTCAGCACTTTCAGTATGTTCGCCATTCACACCTTCAAAACATACAAACACTCAAGATTAAAGGATGTGGTAATGGAATAAATGGAAGTTTTCTGTTATCGCGAAAGTAACAGTTCATGTTAACTAGCTTGTTGAAATCGGTATTAAATGCTTATCTTATATTAAACGGAGATTCGAAAAAAAAAAGAACATGTAGAAAAAGAAACATATCAAAACATTTACGATTAGCAAAGAAAAATCTAAAGCTTACATATTTCACTCATGAATTTAAAATAAAATATTTGAACATTTTTATAAAAAAAGAAAAATAACAAGAATTCCTAACTTAAAGGAAAAATCAAACGGAAAGTTTCTCAACAAACGTCAAAATTAAAAGCCCAAACACATCAAACGAATGGAAAAGAACTGTCATATTCCTGAATTGTTTCAGCAATTATTAAATCATGTAGATGGTAGATAGTGTTCGATAATTTTTTACCACTAGTCTTACTTAATGTGCGATGGGGGTCTCGTGTGTAGCAGGAACGTGTACTTTCAACTACAGACAATGCCCGACATAATAACAAACGAGTAATCACTAAAACCAATGGTCTAATGTATCAGTCGTTTGAGGCTTTTTTATTTTTTAACATATTTTCATATTTGTAAGCCGAAATTTAGAGAAAATATCTTGAATTAATTAATTGTTTTAATACCTCTAAGTTGCAGATTGTGTCTGTCGCATATTTCATTTAATATTTCTTTATATCTTTCCAATTTCGGAATTTTGAGATGAACACTGGCTCTCAAACATGTTCCAAGGTTTGATGGACAATTTGAAAGAAAACCTCTTTTATTGTCATAAGCAAATTCCACTTTCATTTCAACTTGTTGTAAAGCCTATAATTACAAGTATCAGTAAAACATGATTTTGATCAATAGAAACATTTACAATTTTCATAAATACATTAAAATTTTCAATTAATGTTAGAATATAAAATGAAACGTATCATAATTAAATTAAAATTGTTTTCTGTTTTAAGCATAGAAATGCAAAGATTTGTTTATGCGGATTTGCAAGGCGGGAGACACTTACCCTCTCCACGTACTGGCTTTGCGGTCATAAAACTTATTGTCTGTTAATTTCAATAATCATCCAAGTGTCTATGAATGATAGGTAAGCATATTATCATTAATCATATGCTACTGCTCGTTGGCTTATTGTTACAGTCCAATCTCATAGAAGGATTTTTTTAAAATGTTAATGTTATTCGACCGAAGAAGATTGTTTTATTCGAAAGGTTTATTCACCATCCAGGAGGCACAATTTGTTTCCTTTTTATTTTTTACGTTCATAAATATTTCATATGAATCATTTTTGTCGATATTCGTGTTTCTATCTGAGGAAAGGAAGGGGTTTTCGTCAAGACTTCAAACTTCAAACTACATCATTAAAGACTTTTATAGATCAACAAACGTTATTCCATTACAATCATGTGTCTATAGTATATGTCAATACATAACTTATCCCTAGTCTTGACTGTTAGTTATCCAAAAATAACATAGACAAAATGGTTCCAGGTCAGAAGCACTAATATATGAAAACGTTCTCTGTACCAAGTAGTTAAAATATATTCACCTTTGTCGTGCTGTAAGACAAAGCTCTTCGTAGTGTCAGAAGTAAATTGTTCACAGAAGCATACAGAATTTATTTGGCCATGGCTTTGGGTTTTTTCATGTTTTGTTTGACTCTGGATTTTGTTTTTGGCAAAATTTCTAATATTTCAAGTTATTGCTTAATATATGTATTCAAAATTACTTTAAATAATAACATTTGGTTGACGTCCTCTATATAACAAGTCATCTGATTATTTTAATATTTAAATATAAACTTAAAATGCCGTTTCAGTGCTCACAATACGTTGTTTAATAAGCTTTATAGCTACCCATTCATTACCGTTGCCAATATAAACTTCTGTTATATGTGTACAAAGCCCAGCATGGGCCCATACATCCTCCGAATGACGTCCGAACGAAAAGCTACGGCGAGAGGCGTTTTGACAAGGCCGCGCCTACACTCTGGAACAGTTTACCATCGTCCTTGCGGAGTGTAAATTCTTTAGATTTTTTTAAAAAGCAACTCACGACTCACTTATTTCGAACTGCTTTTAATGATTTCTTGTAGATTTTATATACTTTTAATCGACTGCATTAATTTTAGACTGTTTTGTATATTTTAGAGTACATGCATTTTTTATTTTTTATTTTCTTATTTATTTTTTATTGTTTTATCTGTATCTGCTTGTTTGTATTTGATTCGTATTAGTTGGTGCTTTGTATTTATGTTTTATGTATTTTTGTGTTTTATACATTTTTAATGTGAAGCGCTAAGAGTAATTGTTCTTATTATATAATGCGCTTTATAAATATTGTATTTATTATTTATTAGAGACGAATGTACATGATATTTGATTTAAAAAAACAAACAAAAAAACAAATAAAATAATAATACCTATATTATATTAAGAGCATCATAACCACAAAAGGATTATTCGTTTTTACCACACTCGCTTCAGTCCGCTTTGCAAGATGTTTGAAATGTTTGTATTGAACACTCATATCACAAATTAACACCAATACTTCTAAACAAATTATCGGAATCAAATTCATGATTTCGTGAATAACAAATATTGTATAAAAGTTTATCATTCAGATCGTCCTAACTAGGCATGACATAATTGCCACTGGACGTTAAGAAAACAACAATCAATCATCATCCCATTAAGATAGAACTTACATAGATTAACCTTTTATATACAGAAGATAGGTCACTTCCTTTTTCCATTGAAATAAATCGCAGATGATCACCTTCGTTTACCCATACAATGAAAGTTCTGTTGTTATTCAAATATACACCTCGCCCTACTGGCCATCCGTCATATCCTCCAGCATCACTTAGTGTACTACAAATTTCAAAAAAGTCACGTGAATATTATGAGTATCAAGTTGTGCCAACTTGATACTGGCACGTTCAATATGTCTTCTCTAGTTTGACAACGCATGTAAATCATGAACGATACAATTACTCTATAATGATATCTAGCCTAGATCACTGCTGATTGTTTAGCAAAGAGTTTTACTCTGTTTGGAGCTCATGATATTCCCTCGTCGTTTGTTTTAAACTAAATTAATCGAGTTTTTAGTTTTAAACATCGGTAAACAACGTTACCTCAAATGTATCAGTCTTGTCCACCGTAATCATTCGGTTTACAGTAAAAAATACAGAATAATGAAAACAAATAGAGAGTAACGAATAAATTAAGAGCATTAAGTTTGCACGTTTAACATTTATTGTATTCAAAGTTTTCTTTTTCTTTACAATCTTAATTTAAAAATTCTGAAGTAAAGAAGTATGAAGATTAAACTTGTTTTTAGTCTTAGTTTGAAATCAACTTTCTTGTTAATTTGTCCACATAAATGTCTTACAGAATTATTACTAGATTCTAATGGAATAATTTGACGTTTTCGGACATTTTTCATAATATCTTTAAAATTCAATGCTTCCAACTTCAGATTTTCTCCCCATAGCCTTATTTTGTATGTTTTTGACTGAACTCCCATTTTACGGAAAAAATCTATAAATCATAAAGGCAATTCTCTTGTATTGCTAATGAGCAAAATGACTCTGTATTCTGGCTATGAAACAAAGATGAACAATGATAAGCTATACCATAAACATTGATACTATACACTCTTATTGTGTTTTTATCAAGTTAATGTCCTTAATGGTCATTGGAATTGGACAATTATAATAAAAGAAAATACTGAGGAATATATAATTATCAACTTAAATACCGACCTCTAAAGTAAATTGAAAAAGGGGAAGTCCCTAAAAACTGAAAAAATCAAATACTAGACTTTATCGATCAACGAACGAATAGAAATCAACTGTCATATTCATTTCAAGTTGACTGCTGCAACCCTATTTTTTTTAAATTTTTACCTATTATGTATGTTTGTTTTGTTCACACATCGTTGTCAATATAATGGAATTTTATGCGACTGTCTTACAAGTGAGAGTTTTAGCTAGCTATAAAACCAGGTTTAATCCACCATTTTTTACATAAGAAAATGCCTGTACCAAGTCAAGAATATGTCGGTTGTTATCCATTCGTTTGATGTGTTTGCGTTTTTAATTTTGCCATTTGCTGATGGACTTTCCGTTTAGAATTTTCCTCGGAGTTCGGTATTTTTGTTATTTTACTTTTTCCTTACTTCGTACAGGTATTATCCAAAGAAAATGGTGAGTTAAACCTCGGGAGTAGTATACTATTGTTCATTACTTCAAAATACAAACTGTTACACGTAGTTCGGCTTTATAATAAAAATGTTATGTATCGCTAAATACATGGTCGTTCTATTTACGCCTAGTTATTATTTGAATATATAATATATCATATTTAGAGTTTAATTAATGCTTTTGAAATTGACACTTAAAACACTACAGCTAAGGAATAACTTTGATTTAGATTTTTGGTGTTTTAACGCCACTTTTAAGCACCGCTTTTGGGCTATTTCGTGACGGCCAGTTTTAGAATTGTAGAATTGACTACTTATGTTATCCAATCAAAAGCTGCATTAAGATTATTAAAAAAAAAAACTTCTCTGTTTCTACTTACTGGTTATCATCTCTGAACATTATATGATCGTCCACAAGTTGTTGATATTCATTTCTGGGCATTGTTTCCAGTGAGTGGTATGCACCTTTTAAATCTCCTTCGAGTGTATTCAATGCTTTTAATGTCATAACTTCCATTTCTTTTCTTTGCTAGAAAGAAGGTTTAACATTGTTAACTATACAGTTTACCCAAAACATAAAATACGTATTTGCTTTGATTCGAACATTTAACATGTTTAATATAAATATGGACTACTTTTTTAACCGTTAAAGATTGATTGAAATTGTTTTCTTCTATTTCATTATAATCACATCTTTGAAGAACAATTCAAATAAGGGAATGGAAATTTCTGTAACTTTTCGTATAATTATTTATCACTTAAATTTTAATGTTGAATAATTTTAGAAGACCCTATGGACTTAAAAATATCACAAAATTAGTCACAACTCAATTTGGTCACAAAACGCAATATTAATATATTTGATTTCATTTTCTAAACTCGTCCCTAAGAAAATTGGGAGGGGAATTGATGAAAAAATGTACTTAGGTAAACACCTTCAATATTTGTACAATTATTCTACAATGGTACCAAGAATCAACATGAAAAACTACATTCCTTATACAGAGAAAAAGAGTAAATTTTTTGTTATTGTGCTAAGTACTAACCTAATTAGCCAAGCGCTTTTAAACTGATAGTTACAATGTGTTCTAATGTGTGATGTTACAAATTCTTTCAAGGTTTTAGATAGGGAGGGTTGAGCGCTAACAAACATGTTCATCTCCGTCACATACCCTGCGCCTAACCAAAGCTATGCATCTGCAGTTCAGTGGTTACAGACAGTCATAATCTTTTTTAAAGTTATGAGCTAAAATCTAGCCTTAAGTTTTGTATTTATTAACAATGATTTTCCAAGGCCTTTTACAGCTTCCTATACGGTATGGGTTTTGGTCATTGTTAAAGCCAATCAATGACCAGCAGATGTTCACATCCTTGTCATTTGATCATTTGATGGACAGTTGTCTAATTGACGACCATATATGACACATCTCCGTATTCATATTAAGCCCATCAACTGATAAAAACACTTAAGATATGCATTTTCTCGATCATTGACAACAGGTTATTTTGTGACAAATGACATCCTTTCCATAAGCACAATTTTGTTAAATGAACCACTGTCCTACAAAATAAAATACAATGTAGGTCCTACTAGTTAAATTGTGATCAGAGTTTGACAAAAAAACCTTTGTATATTGTCTATTGTATATGTGAAAGTGCTTGAAAAAATAAAAATTGTCGACTCTTATGATTAGATCGACACACTCTGTACCCTATAAAAAATGGAAAAAAAAAACTTTGTAAATTTCATGCGTCCTACGCGATTTTCTGAATTTACCTTTATCAGAAACTCTTAAAGCCGAATATTTGAAAGCAGAAACAGTTGAAGAGCTATATGAATAAAAAGGACCTACAAATAATAGCTAACAGCATCTTACGGTCAACGTTGCCAGAGGGAGTTGAAACCTTATCCTCTTAAAAATATAACGGAAAAGAAAAGTTTGTTATAAATTTTATCAGAACCGAAATATATTAGGGATATTTTCCTCAAAATCAGCGAAACTCAATAACAAGCATTTTATCATGTAAACTAGTTGAGTTAGTTTACATTTTTAACCTTGAACCCAATGCGAGAGACTTCTTGAAATACTAGCTATGTTGAACATTTGGCAGTATTGTGAAAATATGACGGAGATCAAAATCCTGTACACATCCACTTTCTCGGTACATACATAATTATGTAACATCCTCTACATTTCAAATTGTTAGAGAAGTTCTACAGATATACAATATACCCTTAAGGTGGACGAGAGACGATCCTAAGAACAGAGGGGAAAGACTTAATGAAAGAAGTTTATTACTAAGACCCACCTTTTCGCAGAGGGAATAGAATAACTTAACAGATTATATCATAGACGGTTTTTTTCATGATTTTGTTTGGCCTTGTGCACATTAATCTTAAATTTCCATTAATTACCCTTCCCCCTCTTCACCTCCCCCCTATACAAACGCAAGTGCGCTGAAAATGTACAAGCAGTTAGGTAATGATGAAGTTATTTTGAGTTGTGATAGATAAAATCATCGAAAAAAACTCTTCTGATCAAATGTACGAATGTTTTTCGATTAGTTACCATACCGTCAACAACATATATACATTAGATCCATGTATGAGGGTCTGTATGGGGGGACAAACATTGTTTTCCTCTTTAATATTTTAGAACACTGTTCTCTATTCTTTATACTTTTTTCAATTGTTCTCTATTCTTTATACTTTTTTCCAATTATTCTCTATTTCGTAAACCCCGTCCACCATGAAAGTTTACCAGGAATATGTCACATATTTAATTTATAATGGCATTTTTCTAATCCTCCGACTCAGCTTATACACATCCTTCCCATAGTGTGCTCTTTAAAACAATAAGTATTATAATTACCACATTTGTTAATAAAGGTGGATATGGAAATCCCTTATGACAACGTCCGATGCGAACACGAGTTGAAATGATAAAATCCCCTGCCTCGTCGAGTTCCCTAAACTTAAGGTTGGTCAGGTCGCCGTAATCACACTTAGGGTGGTTGACTTCGTTTACTCTATGAAAATCGCATATGATTGGATTAAAGAGATCTTTAAACACTTTATAACCTTCGGGATCACAGGCGTACACTCCAACTTTGCTGTCCAGATTTTTACAACCTAAAACGAAACATTGATATGTAAGTATATGCTACACTTTTGTTGTGCATTCGTTAACATTTTCATTGTTAGTATATATACAAATTAGGTTTCAAATTACTGTTATTTATTGAGAGACAATTGCTAAAGCAAGTATATGTAGCCAGAAAAAATAGTTTCCCTTTAGCTGATTTTCAGATTTAAGTTTTAGAAAATTATTGGAGATATGTAGCAGTTCATTTGATACTTTAATCTATATTTTGTATTGTTGATGTTTTATTGTCTATATATTTCAAGATATATAACGATTACACCATATCTGTCATGTGTATTGTTCAGAATGTAATTGATGAAGATACGAAAAAAGAATAGTGTGGTATACGGCCGAGAATATTGGCATGCTTTATTTTTAAAAGGGCCTTCAATTATGAAAACAAAATGATTGACATGGCAAGTAAAACTTCTTAACGTGAAAAAAAGCTTAAAATCATATATTATTTTGTGTCTGTGTAGACATTTTTATCAAGAAAACTAGATAATACTAAAGACTATTTTTAATTTCTTTTATTCATTTCTAGACTTGATTTACTGAGGACAATGATGGGGGTTGCTGTCTTCTTTATGTCGTCACGACCCTCCTTATTTTTTCTCCTTTTCTATTAGCGACGATCCTTTCTCCTTTCTATTGTTTTTTTTTTAAAGAAGAATCTCCTACTAGTGTCACATTATTTTTTCCAATCTCTGACTGTATGTTCCTCGTGTGACAACGAAACAAAATACAAAGTAAAAAAAGCGAAAAGTTTAAAATACTCGTTATTTTATGGTTGTAGCATATAAATTTAATTATAAGAATTGAATGGTTCTTTTTGTAATTTTATAGGGCGTCATGCAAGATGTGCTTCGGTCAACGCTTTAACACCCCAATAAAAATACAAAAAGAAACATCCAATTCATTGTTCATTTTATATAAAGTTTAAAGGCTTCAAATAGTAGCAGTTAAAAGGTTATTGTACAGTGTAGTAATAACATTTGTCGGTATAAATGATCATAAACCCAATTTTTGTATCATTAACAAATTGACCGCATGAATAAATTTTACAAATATTTCTCCTCGACTAATATTCAAACGTCAAAAACTTAATTACCTTATCGTATCGATTGCTTTTAATAATCCATGACCTTTAATGTTAAGGTCAATATTTTTTTTATGAATGATTGAATGAATGATTTCATTCTCATAAACTAGTACATAGCTACAGCGAAAATAATAGTTCATATAAAATACATATTTATTTTTGCATGTGTGAAAAATATACCAATATAATAGTATTACAGTTCCTCTAACCAAGAGGACAGACTTTCACTGACATGTATCGTATAAATCTCACATTTTTTTCTAGTTCAACAACATTATTAGATGAGACTGTATGATTGAAGGAGTAGAGCCTGGAACCCCAATAAACGGCCCTGTAAAGGTGTTTTTTTTCTAACTTCAATTAATGAAGTTAAACCTAATGGGTATACATTGGTAAATGTATGATATTTAAAATTATAAAACAAAAATTGTATATCTGCTTCATATTTATAAATATATTAGCCTGAAATAGGAATAGATTTAATTTTCGTTCATTTTTTCTAAAAATTCGTCATTTTTCCACCTTTTTCATGATTTTGTATGTGGCGCCACCCCTCGCCCATTGAAATGTTTATTGAAAAGTAAAGAACATGGTATATAAAGAATATTTCAGCAAAAAAATTTGTGGGCGAAGGGTGGCGCCACTGTTAAGTTTTCAGAAAACTGTAATAAATTTTGCAGAATTCTGCAAAAATATGGTTTTTACGAAATTCCCCTTCATTATGACGTCACAATTACGTCACTAATGACGCAATTGGTGAAATATGTTTTTTAACTGAAACAATTGGACATTTTAACATAAGTTTCAATAAAGTTTTCATTACATTATCACAGTGAAAATTTTTCAGATTTTTAGGGCCAAAATAATGTGGTAAATATTTATTATGATGAGTTGACATTCATACCACATCTCCTTGCTTTTATATTATTTGATCGTATCATTGAAAATATTAAAATCATCGAGAATTTAAAATATTCTACAAAATTTGCAGCATAACGATACATTTGCATTGATAAAGAATTAATATAAAATGAAATTTAGTCAAAACTTTCCTAATGTAATTATTGTAATTCAATAAAGAATTTTTATGTTTCCATATTTTCTCATTATCTTTATCATAATTTATAGCAATTTCATTTATATTCGGGAAATTTTTGTTGTTTTTAAGTCTGTTTCAAATTCTAGTTATATTCCATCTTTGAGGTTTTTCTCTCTCGACAAAAGCAGTATCAGTATATAGTTGCTTGCTTACCTGAGCGTATAACATCAGCTAATGTTGTTCCATATTTCGTTGAAAGCTTCTTTAAATGTATGTATTTCTTTTCAGATAAATGTTTCTTTAACAGAGACTTGCTTGTATGTGTACTGATTTTTCTCCATAGGTCTTCTAATTCTATGTACGCCATGTCTACATAGATATTTACAAATGCTAGTACTGATGCGTAATAAACTTCTTTTTTTATGATTTAATTTAACTTTGTACTGATATATATGACTTTTTTATATGAATCGCACTGTCTGCGATGCGTAAAACGTTCAAAGGCTACGCTACAGAGAACTTCGTGGCTGTTCGTTCATTAAGATTATTTGCAATGGACCTAACAGAGGCGGATTTCTTTTGTGGAAAAAATTGGTTGATTATATAGAAAGCATGACTGGAGCGGGCCCCCTCTTTAGCAGTCAGTGCCCCTCTCCAACAAAATCATCATCATGTTCGCATCACAATAAATAGCAAATTAGAAAAAAATAAACCTATTACTGTACGAATCCTAATATACCTATATTGTGGTCCTTTTAAAGAGTAATTTACCTGACACTATGAACAAAATATTTGTTATCTACCATTATGACGTAAGCTCCTTTTATATATTAACATTTCATTTTTATTTCTATATTTTGCCGCTTATTTCTTACGAATTAAAGAAGGGAAATACTAAGTACGCGACAATTTAAGTATATGTATAACAGTTAGAGGGTTATAATTTTCTATGTACTTTTGTTACTTATAACTATGGACTCAACTGTGCCTATTAATGCTAACAATGTTTTATGTTTCATTACAGATGGCCGTGGTCATTGTTCAACATTAAAGACTTGTGTGAATAAATAGACATTGTTCTTGTTTATGACCACGGCCAAAGATTACTGAAGACCTGTGGAGAACAACACTGAAACGACAATGCCTGCAGTACAGTGTCCTATACCAGGATGTGAATATGTCACTGACGATCGTGATGCAGTAATCGTAGCAGCACTCATCACTGCTCATAGCACAACAAACGCTCCGGGACTAGTCACAGCAGCGAAAGTAGAAAAAGTGAAAAGACCGGTTATATCAACAGCTGGTACTAGTGAGGAATGGGCATATTTTGAATCACGGTGGTCCGATTATGTTGAAGCAACAAACATTTCGGGCCGTGACAAGGTAGTTAAGCTTCTAGAATGCTGTGATGAGCAGCTACGCAAGGAATTGACACGATCAGCAGGGGGTAGTCTAACAAACAAACATGTGCAAAAAGTGTTAGCCGCAATCAAGAAACTTGCTGTTTGTGAGGAAAATACGATGGTGGCCAGAGTCACACTTCATAATATGCGCCAAGACCGTGACGAACCAGTGCGTAGTTTTTGTGCACGTTTGCGAGGACAAGCCGGTGTCTGCAAATTCTTCATAAAGTGCCCTACTTGTAACACAGATATGAACTATACAGACATCATTATTCGGGACGTTCATGCACGAGGCATTTCCGATCCAGAATCTAGATTACTTGATTCTCAAATGGTTCAAGCAGCTAGAAGCTCTTATAAAAAGGCAAAACAGACAGCCGTGAGTGACAAAAATGAAGTTTGTTCATATTGTGGCAAAAAGTGACACGGCAAAAGTGCATCAGCTTGTCTCCGTAAATCAGATTGCCCTGCATATGGCCGTAAGTGTGGATACTGCAACCGTGAACACCACTTTGAAAAGGTTTGTAGGAGTAAGGAAAAATCAAAAACTGGTATAGCTACTCATAATACAGACGATTGTGAAGGTGCTGTGTTTGATTCTCTATGTAGCATATCCAGCGATTCACATAAAATAAATGGCAGAACGCTAGCCATAGACCATCATCTTTATGATAATCTGTCAGATACCTGGATCAGCAAGGCATCGCAACCACAAGCATTCGTCAACCTTGTTTTGAGAATATTACCGGAAGATTATGAAGCATTTGGTTTCAACATGACTAAAAGAAAAAATACTGTTGCAATCTCTGCTATGGCGGATACAGGATGCCAGAGCTGCCTTGCCGGTATCAAGATCATCCATCGACTAGCAATAAATCAGACTGAATTAATCCCTGTCAATATGAAAATTCTTGCTGCCAACATCAAAGGTATCACGATTCTTGGTGCAACCATACTCCGCATCTCAGGCAAAGATAATCAAGGTAGACATGTCGAAACGAGACAAATGACGTATGTTACTGACAACTCTGATAAGCTATTTATCAGCAGAGAAGCTTGCATTGCTCTTGGAATGATCTCCGACAGGTTTCCTACAATTGGTGAAATTGACGATACGCAACAAACTCCCGGTACTGAGAATCCTCACAACATCACAAACAACATCGGAAGTGTTAACGGCCTAGACACCACCTGTAACTGTCCTCAACGGAAGCTGCCGCCTCCAATGCCGAGGAACTTACCTTATCCAGCAACTGAAGACAACCTCGCAAAAATAAAATAATTTCTCATGGACTATTATGAATCTAGTACCTTCAATACACCTGTGATCACCAGGCATTGCCACTGATGGATGGACCACCAATGCGATTGATGGTGGATCCCGAAGCTGAACTTGTTGCTCATCACACTCCAGTACCAGTACCAATCTACTGGAAAGAGGAAGTCAAAGCTGGTCTTGATCAAGACGTCCGACTTGGCGTATTGGAACCTGTTCCGGTTGGAGAACCTGTCACATGGTGCCATATAATGGTCGTTTGTGCCAAGAAAAATGGAAAACCACGTCGCACTGTTGATTTTCAACCCCTTAATGTGCAAGAAACACGTGAAACACACCATACGCCTTCACCTTTTCACCAGGCTAGATCAGTGCCAATTCCTGAGGAGGATCGCCATCTGACTACCTTCATTACACCCTGGGGTGAATATCGTTACAAGACGGCTCCACAAGGTTACATAGCTTCAGGCGACGCCTATACAAGACATTCCGAACAAAACCAAATGTGTAGATGACGTCCTTCTATGGGCTGATTCAATTGAGGAAAGCTTTTTTCAAGCTGCACAATGGCTCGATATATGTGGTCGTCATGGCATTACTCTTAATCAAGTTTTGTCTGCTTTACACGCAGCACACCAAGGAGTAACAGTAATGATTTCTAGAGCAGAGTCATCGGTTTTTTGGTCAGGTATCACCCCCGCTATTTCAGCACAAAGAGCCGGATGCAATAATTGTAATCGGATAGCACCTTCTAACCAGAGTGCTCCACCCACACCTATGATGTCACCAGACTACCCGTTTCAATGCTTCTGTTCTGACTTCTTTCAATACAAAGGGATTTGTTACCTTGTCATAGTTGACCGATATTCAAACTGGCCAATTGTTAAAAGATCATCAAACGGAGCAGCCGGACTCATAACCTGCCTTCGACGCACATTTGTCACTTTTGGAATTCCCGACGAACTAGCATCTGATGGTGGTCCTGAATTTACCTCTACTGCTACCAAACAGTTTCTTCGTGACTGGGGTGTACACCATCGCCTATCGTCAGTATCTTTCCCTCATAGCAATTGCAGGGCGGAAGTTGGAGTAAAAACCGTTAAACGCATGATTGCTGATAGCACTGGTCCCAAAGGTAATCTCGACACGGACGCATTTCAACGGGCCATGCTTCAGTACAGAAATACACCTGACAGACACAAAACTTTCACCTGCGATGTGCGTCTTTTGTCATCCAATCAAGGATTTCATTCCGATTCCGCCAGGAAGATATTCTCCTCACAATACTTGGAGGGAAACGTTAGATGCCCGTGAAGAAGCTTTAAAAACCGCCACATCAAACAGGGCGAACGCTTATCAGAACACACAAAAAGACTACCTCAACTTGCAACTGGCGATTGTGTGCGTATTCAGAACCAGATAGGGCATTACCCACTCAAATGGGACAAAACTGGCATCATCATTGAAGTCCGCCAATTTGATCAATATGCAGTAAAGGTTGATGGCTCTGGAAGAGTGACTTTACGCAGCCAACAGAATTTCTCAGGAAGTATGTTCCTGTTAAGGGAATTAAAACAACAAAGACTATACAAGATGACCTTTGTTGTAAGAATGTACCTGTCCCATCATCATTCGACACCAAACAAGTACCACCACCGACTCCTGATACATTAATGGAAACCCTAAAAACTTCTACTCGTGAAAAGCATTATCCACTTTGTCAGGCAGCTTCAGACTCCAAGGACAGCTCTACACCAGAATTCACCTATTCACAAGATTTAAAACAACAAAGACTATACAAGATGACCTTTGTTGTAAGAATGTACCTGTCCCATCATCATTCGACACCAAACAAGTACCACCACCGACTCCTGATACATTAATGGAAACCCCAAAAACTTCTACTCGTGTAAAGCATTATCCACTTTGTCAGGCAACTTCAGACTCCAAGGACAGCTCTACACCAGAATTCACCTATTCACAAGATTTGCCTAGCGAGCGAAAACTGAACATTCCGGCAACGCCCAAAACAGGACTTTCTTCATCCAAATGTCCTAGAGTAGAAAACACACATCCTGAGCGCCGTCGTTTGGAATTCATAGAAACACCACTTGAGGAACAAGGAACACAGCCGACCACCAACACTCCTCCGTTGATCATTACTCCAACAGAACTTACTACACAACGTAAATCTAGTCGTGCTAGTCGACCACCTGCCTGGCATTCAGATTATAACATGGATTAACAATCATGACATTGCCATTTTGATTTTTTTTTTTGCATTTCAACTAACAGAGATTAGTGTGAATATCATCTTAGTCATATTACAGTGGACAAGTGTTTGCCACCTTTAATGGAACATTACAGGAGCCAAAAACTTAGGGGGAGATAGAGGGTTATAATTGTCTATGTACATTTTTTACTTCTAATTATGGACTCAACTGTGCCTATTAATGCTAACAATGTGTTATGTTTCATTACAGATGACCGTGGTCATTGTTCAACATTAAAGACTTGTGTGAATAAATAGACATTGTTCTTATTTAACGGTACATAAGAAATGACATTAAAAAACCTCAACAAAAAACTAATTCAGTTGTTATAAAAAAGAAGATGTGGTATGATTGCCAATGAGACAACTCTTCACAAAAGACCAAAATGACACAGAAATTAACAGCTATAGGT